GTAAGCTTCCAGTTATAAGACGGGCCATGGAAGCGTGATGTGCAGCGTGGGGAACGTGGTTAACATGATCACTGTGTGGGCTCTAGACTTACCAGGGGGCCCACTTCGTCAGGTAGAGAAATACTGTGCCCCTGAGACTAACCTAATCCTGTGTCGACTGTAATTGAAAATAGACGTCAGCCGGCCGGCATGGCTCAGTGGTTGGGCATCAGCTTAGGAACCAGGAGGTCACGGTCTGTGCAGTCAGGGCACATGCCCGGCTCCATCCCCAGTGCCCCGGGGGCGCAGGAGGCAGCCGGTCCGTGATGCTCTCTCATCAGGGATGTTTCTCTCTCCCCCTCTCCCTTCCTCTCTGACATCAATGAAAATATATATAAATAAATTTTAAAAATATTTCCGAGAGCCCGGGAAACAACAGCGTAAGCGTGAGGCCCCGCTGGCAGCCGGCCGTGCATGGCGAGCTGCCGCCGCGTGTCCCCTGGTCCCTTTCTGCCCGGGCCCGGTCCTCCGAAGCCCCCCTGCTCTCAGCACGCTGCCCTGCCCAGCCTCGCCCCTGAGTGTGTCTTCCTGCTCTGGCTGGGAAATCGCCGGGCGGAGTGTGAGCGAGTGCGTCTCGTTAACACGCCGTGAGAACTGCGTGCCGGGCTCTGGTGGTGTTTTCAACGATGAACGTTCAGGGGTTTGCTGTGGCCGGAGACTGGGTCGCGCGGGGCTCGCTGTCCACGCGGCCCTTCAGCGTGTTCCAAACAGAGCCTGCGATCACCGTGGCTATTTAAAGAGAACCCAGAAATATCCAGGAACTTAGGCGGCCTGCGAGCTGCGAGAACACGCGGGGTTTCCTGGTAACATTTATTTGGTTATGTTTTCGAATCCACGATTCGCAGAAAAAATCCTAAACGCTAAGCGTAGTTAAGTGGGCTTGGGGGAGTCAGGACGGGACCGCGGCATCCAGATGAGTAAATCATCGGGGGAACGCCTGGTCTCTGAGGATCGTTTGGTTTCCGTTTTGATTGGAAGCAGGTGGCCGCCAGGCAGTTTCCCTCCTGTAAGGGTCGCGAGCTGCTGTCAGTGACCCTGCACGGCGCTCTGACCTTGTGCTTGACCTCGGCCGAGCCAGCGGAGGGTTCCACAGAAAGCCCCTCCCGGGGTTCCATGCCGAAGCTCCGGCGCTGCCTCGTCACCGGACGCGTCTCCTCGATAGCTGAGCTGCCTAGGATTCCAGGATAAAGCGAAGCGGTCGCTTTGGAAATGTCAGGCAGTGCATGCGGGAGTTATTTTAATGATAAAATGCTGCTGGACTTCGCGTGCCTGCCAGGAAGAGAAGTGACTTCAGGCCACAGACCTGGGGACAGGCGGGCGGCCCCTGGAGGAGCCTGGCCCGGGGCGGTGTGAGCAGCCTGGCTTTGTGTCTGTGCGGTCTGAGCCCGTGAAGCAGCAGAGAACAGGGGCGCACGGGCGGGCGGGGGTGGGGGGGATTGGCCGAGCTGCGTCGGGGGACGAGCATTTACAGTCTGGGTCACTCTGTAAACGCGGCAGTACTCCGTACCAGCAGCACCGCTGGGTTCCTCTGTGTGGTGTTAGTGGATGCAGATCGCCCGGTCCTGGGCGTTCACTGGGTTGAGAGATAAGAGTGTGTGGCTGAGTTTTTGTGTTTGTTGTTGTTGTTGTTTCATCAATTTCAGAGAGGAAGGGAGAGGGAGAGAGAGAAACACCAGTGTTGAGAGAGAATCACTGATGGGCTGCCTCCTGCACGCCCCCCACTGGGGATGGAGCCCACAACCTGGGCCTGGGCCCTGACTGGGAATCGAGCTGGTGGGTGCCGGGCTCTGCCAG